ACAGAGAGAATTTTTTTTGGAAGATGGGTGGAAGGGGTTTAATTAAGACATTAAAAATGAATGTTGAGACATTGGGGAGAGAGAATGGGACGAAGGAAAGTAAAATTGGGTTTAATTAAAATTGCCGCATTTGTAAATGAGAAAATTTGACAAATTTAATATCGACTACAGGTTACAAATCAAATATAAATATATGAGGATAAATATAACGATTATCTAATCCAGCAAGGACCTATATTTCTATGTTCAAAAACACATGCAAATATACAAAATAATATATCCATGTATATACATACACATAGGCACAAATATATCTACCCACATAAACACATATATATACCCTATATACACATATATAAAAATATAAAAATATATCCACACATACACATTCATATTCATCTATATCCATATACACAAATTTTTACATACATATACACATATACACATGCACACATGCATATACATACCATATATATATATATATATATATATATATATATATATATATATATATATATATATATATATATATATATATACACATACATATATATATATATATATATATATATATATATATATATAATATATATATATAAATAAAAAAATATATAACAAAAATACAAACATATACATACATATATATACACATACATCCATCCGCATCCAGTCCTTCATATATATACACACATTTACCCACATACATACGGACATACGCATAAGTGCACATAAACATATATACCTAAAACCTTACATTTCTATATAATTATTTAAACAAATAGACAATGTATCCCTATATCTATCCGTCTAACATTATATACACATATATCTACGTACATATACTCCCATATACAAATATATATGAGTACATACATACCAAAACATACACACACACATATATATATATACATCTACATATACGTCCATCTACATATATGTCCATCCATCTAAACATACATACATCCATATACGTATACATAAATATACATATATACACATACATGTACATCCATACATACACATACATATACCTATATACACACCCCTACATATGTACACCTATATACACACATACACACACAACTAATTATACACACATATATATCCACATACACATACATACACATACACACACACACACACACACACACACATATATATATATATATATACACACATATATACACATACATACGCACATACATATATATATATACACATACACATACACACACATACACATACACATGTATATATACACATACACACATACATATATACATATATACATATGCACACATACACACACATATACATATACACATACATACATAAACACCTCCATACATACATATATACACACTTACATATATATACATACATATATACATATACACATATACACATATACACATACATACATATACATATATATATATACATATATATATATACATACACACACACACACACACACACATATATATATATAAATATATATATATAAAATCAAAATTTAAATTTTAAAAATCTAAATAAGTAACATTTATAAATATTACATATATATATATATATATATATATATATATATATATATATATATATATATATATATATATATATATATATATATATATATATCATATAAACGTACACAATGATACATATAAAGATAAACATAATAAATATAATAGTCATTCCATTAAAATGCCATGCCCGCTGTTATTGGACTAAGATGGAACTGACATAAGTGACAACATGTTACAAAACGGTGTTCATGTTTTGAATCGTTTCTTATGTCTACATTTAGAGAATATCTCATTACGAAGATTCAGCAGCTCATCTCGATTCTTATCTTTGATAATGAAGATTTTTTTTCCGCCATGCACAGATCACACCGATCGCGGAAGTTATTAGGTGTTCTGGCTCTTGATAGGTATCCCCATTTCAAAATTGGGTTTAATCCCTTATCTACCAGTTCCCAGTAGTGTTTGGATAAGAAAGTCTGTCTACTGAGGCATCTATATCTAAATGAGCGTCTATGGTTGTATAGACGCTGCTTCCAATCACCGGCGGATATACCTATGTATCTTTTTTTCTCGTTTATATTTATATATATATATATATATAAATATGCATAATATCCCATGCCGACGATACAATTCGGAGTTTCATGCTCTATGCAATCATCAGTTATTGATTTGAATGTACATATTTGATTAACGGTATAGGTTTGAATTTCGTCTCAATATGTTTTATTTGCAAAACTGGTGCTTTGTTAAATATTTAATTGTAATAATCAAAAACTTATTTTGAAAATAAGAAATTTAACTAAAAACGACAGCTGTTATTAAAATACGTTTAAGGATCAAGGGTACCTCCTGTTTAGATTAAATATATATTTTTCTTCAATAAAAATAATAATAATAAAAAAAATTTGTAGTGAAGAAATGATAATAAAAGTAAAATTAATAATAGTCCATTCTCGAAAGACCCGTTACTTTTTTAAAAACAGGTTCTCGTAAGTATGTCTTTACGATAACTACAATTAATCTCGTCAAATCTTTCGTTAACTGTTATCTCTCCTACATATCCTCATAAACTTCACTTCTTACCTCCTCCTCTGACGTTCATCGAACAACCTCATTCAGTAACCCTCTACCTTGTGTGGCTCTTGGGCTTTGTATTGTGTAATATATTTATTTATAAATTCTTGATACGTTTTATAATTTTCGGATTTTTAATGTCCGCCTGCAAATATATCTTAATTGGTCGTTCAGAAGGTCTAAGGAATAAAGCGGATTTTCAAAGCAAAGTGTTTTCTTGACAAGGAAATGAAATCAAAACACGTATCTTCTAAAAATCTCAAAGGAAATTTCCTTTTTCATTAAGCAAACTTTCTTTAACTTTTTGGAGTTTTTCGCTAGAAGCAACCGCAGATAACTTGTATACGGGCATTAGCACGCAAGAGAATCGAAATTTCTTCCTTTTATCTCAGGAGACAGTTTCAATATTTTGAAATAATAAAACAAAATTTTGTGAGCAAAAATTGTCATCATGAAGCAGATGTATATTCTTACGAAATCTGTTTCAGTGGTTGTTTTTCGAAGTTTAAAATACATTAGAAATGATTACACACACACACACACACACACACACACACACACACACATACACACATATTTATATATAACAAAAGATTTCTTTTCGTGATGTGAAATTTGTTGATATAAATCGTGATCTTGCTATGTATGCAAAGGTCGTGTATACATCACGAATAAGTCACTCTGTAATCTCACATATGAAGAGCACATCACGTTTTACAGTTAGGAAAATTACTCAAAATATTTTTCCAGTGAGGCCGTATGACGACGTTAATGCACGTATAAATAATTGTAATTTAGGTTTTCTGACACTTTTAGATGAAATTTGATTTGCAATATTTGTAAAGAAAAGGGAATGTTTACCTGCCGTTGATTTTCAGTGACTGTACGAAATAGCATCGGAACGTTTAGGCTATTTTCTCGTCGGCCTTCTGCGTATGCCTACCTATGAGGATAACTACCAAGGAATTTTGAATTAAGCATTTTATTCCATATACTAGGTTAAATTGTTCTTATTCTTTTGTCCAGTTCTAGAAACATCGTCAATCGTTCAGTTTTCATTTGTCCTGTTTCTACTAAGTCTGAACGTATCTGCAATAACAGGGGCAACAACTGAACTCACTATTAATATATCACTAAATTAACCCACCAAAGGAATTTGGAATAACTGAGAAATATTAAAAAAAAAAGGCCCGGAAAAAAGCTATCTCTTAAGCTGGACAGTGGAATGAAAAAATTTACTCCATTAGATTGAATAAAGGCTTCAGTTCGAAAGTTTCTGACAGTTACCTGGGCCGATATACACGTGAATCAGGCCGAAGATCACAATGTCGGAAAAGTTGAATTGAGTATATTAGTCCTACTGTTAATAAAGGAAATAATGATAAATCCTCATCGCAGGAATTAAGACAGAAGGCGTTTCACTTATTTTGCAAGAGTTTTTGGTTTGTCACTTAATCATTACCACCACATGTTTGGTAGTAATGCCAATAAAACAAAGGTGGGGGCTTACAGGGCAGGAAGAATTGGGAACAGAAACAATAATGCTGAGCAGAAAGAGAAATGAATAATCAGCAGGAGAGTAGCGGTGCATTTATATTTTCCCACAGCAATGTTGGTTGGAAAACATTGAACTGGAAGCAAGTGTCATCAGCGTGAAGTACGAGAGAAGAAATTCTCACCATAGAACTTACGGCTACATCTAATCAGGTCAATTGTCAATTGATGAGATCTCGATGCCAGTTTTCAAAAATCTAGATACCATAGCGAAGATCATATACGAATAATTACCATGAAAGTATTTATAGATAAGTCATAGGGAAAGTGACTGGAGCTGAGCTGCCAGATCAAGACCGATGATATTGTTGATTCTTCTTTGGATCTTATCAAGGATCTTAGCGTAAATAGCAGGGAAACCGGGACAAATGTGGCAGCTATATTCTAAGCATAGACCTAAAGTAGATTTCTAGGTATGTAAGATAGATTCTGGAGAGAAAAAATGTTTCGCCGGAAATAGTCAAGCGACATTTTTAGCAGCTGATCCAGCAATTGATTCAATCTAAACTTTCCACGTCGTATCAGCAGAGAACGTGAGCCGGAGAATGCGCAATGAATCACTTTCCTGGAGGTTAACATCAGGTTCCCCAAATGTAGATAATATCTAAATTCGAAGAATTCCAAATTAAAAAAAAAATCTCTTGTTTCTTTTCTAGATAGGGACTATACATTATTTTGCAAAGTTTTTTAAAGCACTTAATACTAATCTTATCTATTAGGTTATTATAAATGAATTTCGTTTTTTTTTTGTTTATCATAAAAACAAAGTACAATTTTTGAGATATATATTCGCCTTTATTTGCAATAATTCTTAGCCCCTTATTAATCGACTTACCACCACAGCACGTTAAAATACCGGTCCCCTTATAATCACCGAAGTTAAGCAAAGTTGAGCCTGGTCAGTACCTAGATAGGTGACCATTTTGGAATACTAGGTGCAGCAATTTCGGAGGTCTGGTTTGAGGAGCGTGGAACCACCTCTTAATTGCTGGTATTCCGAGGTCCACCCTTGACCAGGGGTGCTAGCACCTGTTATGGTCCCAGCTCCGGGCAAATAGTTAACGTCTAGACTGGGGTTGAAACACTATGAAAGTGGAAAAATAGGTTTTAATACCAGAAATACTTTTAAAAAATTATTACCAGCAATACATTTTTAAAAAATATTACCAGCAATATACATTTGAAAAAAAAAAACTATTACCAGTAATACACATTTTTGAAAAAAAAATATTACCAGGAATACATTTTTGAAAAAAAATATTACTAGTAATACATTTTTGAAAAAATATTACCGACAATACATTTTGGGGAAAATATTACCAACAATAAAAATATTGTGGGTATTAGATAACCCTTTGAAGTTGATGTACCGTAAAACAAACCAAATCGAGTGGCCACCGGGCCTTGTACAGCGTGAACCTTACTGTAAAAAATAATTGGTGTTCAATGGCACATAAACTGATTTCAAATTTTGATGTAAATTCTGATAGATCCACTTTCGTTTCCTTGCTATTATTAAAAAAAAAACAGAGGGAACTTGGATTGCTTGCCTTGGTAGGCAGCCTCACTTAGAGAACTAAAATTATTCATTGAAAACCAAGTTAAAGACCGATGTGCTGCTTCGTAAATAGATCCACTTTTGCAGTGGATGCATTTTGTCATTCTCCTATGAATGTAATCGGGAATCTGAATCACTTTCATGAGATCATAATTTTCTTCAATTCTATTCGATTACCGAGGCTTTACTTATGCCTTGAATATTTTTTTTTTATCAGACCCCTTATGTCGATTTTCTCTGATCGTTAAATAAAATAACTATGTATGTAACAACCGATGTGTCGGGATAAAAATCTTGAAGATTGATCATTCGGGACAACATTCATTTCACGATCTGATCAGAAATATTGAATCAAATGGAACATTTGACCAGAAATAGTATAACACTTGAAATTGTGAAAAAGAATGTAAAATGTATTAACCAAATTCGAAATGTATAAAAGCAATACCTCACATGATCACCTCCGCCCAATACTCCGGCCACCAGGTTTAACTCAGCCAATGGGCGCTCAGCAGCGTGGGTGGGCTAGACTAGCCTCGTTTTAAAAAATCTTGCTCAAAGAAAAAAAATTATCTTCCTTTCTCTTTTTTTTTCTTTTTTTTCTCTTTCTTTCCTTCTGCCCGACAGTGAACCCCTGGTTTCTTATCTTAGCCAAATGTCATTTGGACTTTATCACCCGGGACCTTCGCCAAACAAGTGGGTGGTCAATTAGACGTATTTTCATTCTTGGTGCCAATTTCTGACCCGATAAAATAGGTTCGCTGTCATAGCCGAATTTCAACACAAAACAGATGCCTTTTTCAAACGATTTTCCCTTAGATAACCAATGGTTTGGTCTTTTTGTTTTCGCAACCTTGTGTGATCAACGGACATTTTTGTTTTCGGTCAGGGATGACCTATTTAATTTTATCTCTTTTTAGAATTCTGTGGAAGTCTCAAATGGGCATTCCTGCGACACATTTAAATGTTTATCTATTTAGAATTCTGTCTCTGAGGTTATTTGGCCAACCTGGAATTTCCACCCGCCCCGTAACCTAAATCAGATTAATTCCAGTATCTTCCTTTTCTTTACCTTCTCGACAATGGGAAATAAAGATTTTACCACTTTTCCTTGTAAGAAAAATAACACCGCTTAGTTTCCTTTTCCTGATGGCTTCTTATCACCTAATTTTAATTTTCGCCTTTTTTTTCTTTCCTTTTTCTTGTCTCCTTCTAGCAACTCTAAATGGTGCCGCATATTGTTTACATTAGTCAAACTGTTTTCCTCATCTTTATTGTTATATTCACGACTTTTCGGTCGTTGTATGCTCTGGCTTTCTTCAGGATCTGTCTATATTTCAAAGATGAGGTATTTTAATTATGTACATTGTTCGGACTCTCCTTGAGGACACTTGGCCCAGAGGATAAAAGCGTTGTTTTTAATCCAGTAAATTGTGAAATTAGCCACAGCTGATGCTAAAAAAAAAAAAAAAAAAAAAGAAACAAGTTGCGTTAAAAGTTAGATAACTGATACTAAGATATCCGGAAGAGGCATGGAATGTTGAACTAGAACAATATGAACCAGTGGACGAAATAAACGGGTTGGGTCCAAAATTTCAATCAACTGACGAAAGCCTGAGCGTCCAATAGTCGAAGCGTCGTGAATATGGCAACAAAGATGATAAATTTATATTGTTATATTGACATTAGTTATATTGTCATATAAATACCGATATAGATATGTTTTCATATTGTTCTAGTTGTTTTTTTATATCACATTTATATTGTTCTGTTGCTATGGCCATGTTTTTACATTGTGCTATTATAGTGATAATTCATATATTAACATGTCATGAGTTGTATTATCATAACTATATTCTTTCAAGTTGTACCAAAAATTCCGTCCGATTCATCCTCATATTGTTAAAATTAAATTGCCATTTTTTTTTATATATGTATAGATGCAATGGCAGGCGTTATCTTCTATGTTTTTAATTTTTATTTTTTATTACACTCTCTCTATAGTAGTTTTTTCTCATATCGTTCAGTAATCTCGTGCGTCGGAATGGCTTTATTGCCTTGTTTGGAATAAAAATATAAAAAGACAGATAGTGATTGGGTTGCAAATCACATTGATACATTTTAGATATACCTTAATTCATTAAGGCTTGCTATAATGGAAATTTCTGTAATTTGTAGTTACAGTTATAGTTTAATATTACATTATATATATATATATATATATATATATATATATATATATATATATATATATATATATTCCTATATTCCTATATTATTCTGAATATATGAGTGGCGATTTGTTTATTTAGAAATTTCTGATATCAGCGAAAAGACCACCTTTTCGTTCAACTTATCCTCAACTCTTGAGATGCACAGGTGGGGCTGGTTTGAATCATCACAGCTGAAAATCGCTTCGAGAAATATCCTCAACTTAAGATTTCTGCTTATATATATATATATATATATATATATATATATATATATATATATATATTATTTCTTATATGGTGGTTGTGAATTCGTTGTCTTACTTTACCATATTTTACCTGTAACTGCGCTGTTGTTTTCCCAGGAATCTACTTAAGGTTTTTTTTTTTTCTTTTTAACAGAATGATTTTTATAATCTTGAACATTGCTTGCTTCAAGGACCTGTTACTTTAATTTTCGATTCCGTTTCTAGTTTATTTTGTACATATATCTCTTTGTTATTTATTTTACCTATAGAGGTACGTTATTATTTTGTTGCAGAAAATAAACAAAAAAACAAGCCAGTTGCTTACTCTTATACAACGTATGGTCAGTGTAACGGTTACCACCTCCGAAAATGAAATCGGCATATCGAGTTCAAATCCCAGTCTAAGTTGTTTCGCATTCTACTCAATCAAGAAATATATTAAACATACTTCCCCCATTTATATGGGTTAAATATTAATTCAGTTGTCAGAGAGAAATGACTATTATTCTTAGAATGAGAAGGAGACAGCTGATATTTCTGGGATACATAATGAGAAAAAAGGCTTGGAGAATTTTATACTCACAGGTCATAACTAATGCAAAAAAGTTATATGCGAAACAGAAAGCACCTTATCTAACACATCTTTGATAAAAGATGAAAGAATAAGGAAGGGTGTATAGAAGGAAGACAAATATATAAGATAAATGAAGGATAGCAAACTTTGCTGTTGTTGTCACAACGTTTCGGTCGTTCTTGTTCTCCTGTCTTCATCAGGGGTATCTTTATCTACAGGGAATTCTGAACTGAACCCTTTATTTAGTCTGCGTGGGTAGACTGTTCTAGTTCAACTGCCCATGTCTCATCTAGTATTTATTTTACGTACTACTCAATTACTGCTCGCCCGTTCCCACAGAATCTAAGAACACACTGCTCGGCCTTATGTCACCAACGGCACAAATGTCGAAACGTTGTCATAATAACGATAAAGATGCGAACAATACCCCGGATATAAATAGCGTAAAGATCATCCCAGAAATTCAGACAGACAATCGGATAGAATGTTGTAAAGGTTCATATCGCCAAGATCAGGTAGAAATCAGATACAAGGAACAAGAAGATGAAAAAGAAGCCATCGAGACAGAATATCTATTCGTATTAATAATTAATAATTTGTAGTAAGGTCGATAATTATTGTGTTCCATACTTAGCGGTTATTAAACTGTAACTAATATAGAGAACATCCCTAGATATAAAGAAACCGTGCAGAAACAAAATGAAAATCATATGTCAGTTTTATTAATCTAAACTACAGTTCAAAATTTTGAAGCCACTTGCAAAATTAGCATAACAGAAGAGTAAAAAAAAATATGAAAAAGTGCTGTAAGAGTCATTGAAAAAGGAATGGAATCAATTATCAAACTTTGAGAATTTTTTTCAATGAATATCAAAAATTTGTGCTGCAGCAATCAAGGCTATAGGAGGATATTTTGGGGAGAGTAAAATTTATTCATATTTCTCCTTTATCACAATACAGTTTCTAATAAAAACTATCATGTCTCACTTTTTTAAACCTGTATAATAATTTCCTGTTATTTAAAGTACGAAACAACTAATTTTGGAGCCAATTTAAAAAATTACCAGTGTGGCCTCAAACTTTTGAAAATACAGTTTATGACAATTTACAATTGCCTGATAATACGCTTCTGCTATGTACCTTAATTTCCCATGAATAATACGCCTTCATCCATAATACGCACATCAAAAATGTGTTGAAAATGAGGGAAAATGCTTATACTCAAGCATAATATGCCACTTTTGTTTAATAATGAAACCCTAAAAATTCTACCTCTCTAATTTCATTACGGCCAATGTTCCCTACTCTTTTTTTACACATAATATAATATTCTAATTTAGTTTTATGATAATTC